CACAACGTGTTTACTACCGCAAGAAGCCGCTCATGAGCCGACCGTGCTGATTGTTTGCTCCCATGTTACTGATAGACCCTCTTTGCAGCCTCAAATGGATCTAGAACTGAATCGGAGTCAAAATGTTGCTGTAGTGTCATTGGACTACGTACGATGTCGAAGAGGGAGGGACCTGAAGTGTTTGGTGTAGCCTTACATTTACCAAGTTCTTTTGTAAAGCCTAAAGCTAGCGATTCTTGATGAAAATAGCTTCCAGCACAAGACTGTCCTCATCGTGTGATGATTTGGGCTCGTATTGAGTGGACTATGGAAAGAACAATGTCGCCATGATTCCACTTGATGCAGTACAGCTTAACTTGGGGGAGAAGAGAATGGCTAGCAATTCCACCCCAACTTCAGGCTCAATACTCCATAGTTCGCCACGAGACTTCAGCGTAAGATTGTCAAACTAAATGTTGCAAAGAAGAACACTCCATCCTCACCTCCAATCCTTGTCTTGGACTTTGGTTTAGCCAAATTCAGAGTACTAGAAACGCTTTTCTCATGCAACATATGGTGTAGAACAGGCACTTATGAAACAAGGAGGGCAGCAGAGCTGTGCTTCTGGAGGTAATAGACAGTCGCCGAGTATAATTCGCGAGCGAGTTGTGCATTATGCAACAAATTCCCTCTTTTCCTCGGTTCGCCATCCAATTTTGGGTGGTAAAGGCTTTGATCCAATTGAAACTTTTGAAGCCTATAAACCTAAGCCTATTTTTGTAAAACGACACGTAGGAAGTCATTGCGTAGCTTCAAAAGCATAAACACTTAAATCATTTTAAGTGACCACCGGCACAAGCACGCTATGAGATGCTGACTTGGGTGGCTTCATCCACCAGTACATTCAATGACAAATCTGACCTGGAGGATGGCTACGTAAATGACATAAAATATGAAGCGCCACACCACCAACGAATATAATCATTCTTAATTCACACAGGTGTATTCATTTTATTCATCAAATAATACCGGTCGGCATGATTGAAGGATGAGAAAGTGACGCCCCAAACCTCAAGTCCAAAGATCAGGTAGTGAGGCAAACGAACTTTAATGACGTCCTTCCCGCGACCTCAGTACACGCTTTCGGATGAAGTCTACCAATAACACAGAAGTAACTGGGATTGCGAACAGAACCACCGTAGTTACAGTTAACTGAAGAGTTCTCATTTGCACCTTTCAACGCACACATTCGAAGAGTCCATTCAAGTTAATAACAAGTCAGTGCACCGTCAATAGCCAGACGAACAAACACGCGAATAACAAAGCAACGTCACCCTCCAGAGACACTAGGAGAGATGATGGCAAACCCCCATCCACCTTGCAACTAAAGTTATCTCCAATCTGACGGACACCGAATCCCTCCACCTAGCCTAATAGGCTTCTCCGGCAGTTGGGCCAAAAAAATACAAAATTATTGCATCGAAGCTCAACTTCTTGATACAGTAGTGGATGACAACTTTTTTTCCACAAGTGAGTCCTAATTTTGCATTGTTAACTGATGCAGATGAGGAGAACAATAGGAGATACACCAGCACACATATCTTCGCACGTAGAACCTCAATGAGGAAAAGTGGAGCACTTGAAGGATAGGAGGAGAGACAATCCACCTCGTGCAGACAAAACTGCTTTCGAGATTCACGCTTTGCCCCATTAGCATAAGCCCAAATTTGATGTGTTCTATCCATCACTCATGTAGACACACATCAGTTTAGAGATTCCGAACTTCCAATATGACGAATACACATCGAAGCCAATTCGATCAGTAGTAAAATAGCTACCAATCCACTGAAATCAGAGCGATAAAATTGCTAGTTCCATGGAGGACTATCCCAAGATTCACTGCTTTTACCGATCCCACCTGGAACAGCATGGATTGAAATGAGATGATGGAGAGAGAATCAATCGTCGCAATGGATGGATTTGATAAAATTAGATTACAAGTTGTATAAACTCGAGAGCGCAAAGCCGTACGTCACTCACACTTTGCTACTAATACTATTTAAGTAGATTAGACCCACCCTCAAAATGTTCAATTTTAGGGCTCAAATTGTACTAACAGTTGGAACTAATGGTCATCCGATAGTGATGTTGACACCAGTAGCTGAAAACTAGTACCAACAAATAATGTTCAGATACCTATACCCTATAAATGAAGCTTATCCAAAATCTTACGAAATGAACACTGCATCAGGCATAACTTCAAGTCGCATTATGCCAAAAACAAAAATGATCAACCTTCCACTCCCATTACAACAGCTCTTATTTGAGATATTCATTAATTGGCCTCTATATCACCTCGAAGTATTAAATCACTTAAAGAAAAATCTCGCCTTAACAACCTAATCAGAATCGACGCAAACATAACCCTTGACCTGGAGGTTGCAGCGA